AGTCTGTTTTCAAACCACTCATAATGAATGCAGTCTGTTATGAGAATCACGATGGATTATCCTCACTGAATGTGAAGTGAAGTTCCCTGAGCTTATTCCCATTGATTTGATCTGGTGTTAGCAAAAGACCTAAATCTCACACTGGAAATGTTTCATTGTGGACATTCTCTAGTATTTAATTCTCATCTTCCCAGTCACACACAGGTTTAATTTCTGATCTTAGAGCTTTGAGCTTCTATTTCATCATTACAGCAGCAATGATTTATTGATTTATTTTGATTTTATTTTATCTACTGATTTATGACTGGGACACCTCGTGCTAGCAAACACTGAGGTGTCACTGCCCAGCTGTGAATTCTGCCATGATTATTCCACTGCCACTCACATCTGCTTTGAAAAAACATTGGCCAAGAGCTGAACCATAGAACCCTAGAACTGTGACACCTACCAGCTTTGAGGCAGCCTTTAAAGACCTCCCTACCCCAATGGCACTAAGCAACTGTGCAGTGACAAACTGAGCCCCACGTTGAATAAGTTCTAGTTCATTGCACCATCGAAATAAGCTCTCTCTCTGTGCTAAAGTACAGACAGCAAAATTATTACATGTATTGGAAGAAATAAATGCAGTTTAGGTCAGAACCAAAGTTCATGAGAAATATTTTTTTCATGTTTAATCCTTTCACTGTATGTCGAGGAGATTTTTCTCAACATGGTTTAACATGGTACAAATGGTTCACCTTAAGTCAGCGAGAGAAGACAATGTGAAATATTCAGCATTTTGATATCAGGAAAATATTTCAATAATTCAGAGTGAGGCCCTTACAAAAGCAGGGAGCAAGTGCCCATTTTTAGCCCTGCCTTGATCATTTCACTCTAGGGAAATTGGAAAACAAACCCATGGCCAGATCCTGACCTCAGTTCCAGAAATGTACCTGGATAGCTCCAGCTCCGTGAAGGTGACCTGTTGTGACTCTGCTGAGGCATTAATACAGATTTACACAATTCTCCAACACAGTGGTTAAAATTGAAACCCATCCCATAATTAAGCAAATATGTATCCTCTCAGCAGCCAAAAACTACATGAAACTGAAGAATAAGGATAAAAATATGACATTTTTCTTATTTCATGAAAGAAAATCCATTCTGGATTATTTATTTTCCACTTTTCTTTATTGACAGCAAATTTAAAATAATTGTACATAAAATTGATCAAAAATAATAAAATGGTGTCAAAGAGTAGCAACCATTGGTTTTAGCCAGAAAATCACACCATACATAAACGTATGGAGTAGAGTGATAATTTGACAGAGTAAATCTGTATACACTGACGGATAAGTAATTCAATACATATATTTGTGGCTATCAAAAGCAATTTTAATGGCATGCTAAAAAATAATTTGGTTGAAAGAAACAGAGGAATCCAAACTCTCAGAAGAAGCAATTATATGAAAATTTGTATTTTAAGTCCTTAATAAGCCATTTTTAACTCTCAAGGAATCCAATTGCACTACTCTGACTCATAAACACTCAGCAAACACAGGATATGATATAGAGCTTTATCTCACCAAGTGGCTTCCAGTATGTGTCTGGAATTGTTTTCATTTTCAATCATTATGTGGGTTTTTAATAGCGAGCAACCTAAGTTCTAAAGGCAATGAACACAAAAGCTATGTTTTACTGCAATGAACAATTAGGAATTCCAAACAATTTGGTTCATCAATCAAAACATTCTCATTTTCAAAAAAAAAGAAAAAAAGAAAATAAAAGAAAGGCCCATGTCTAGCTGAACAGTCTTTTCACCTGGGGCTCATTAGTGCTGCAATTATTTCTCTCTCCCGTTTCTAACTAATGCACTGCTGGGAGTCCAGACCAGGTGCTCCTTTCAGTTCTGTCTGCTCCCAGCAACTCTATCTGAGAGCTCCATGTCTACCCACACCAGGCTAATGTAACCTTTGGCTCTGCCCTGTTAAATTAGAGCACCCTCCAACTCCACGCTTGCAAATGGAATCATTAACAAGTAGCAAGTCAGCAATGCTTGGGTGACTCAGATACATTCCGGGAGGGCATATGCCTTGTTTTGTTTCATTGAAACTGGTCACATCAACAGGCTTGTGGATTTTTAAAGGACATATTAAAAAAGTTAAAAATTATTTATTATTTAAGTTGTAGGCTGGTTTTATTTAAACAAATAAACAAACCACCATTTACGTGACTTGGAAATGAAAGTTGACCAATTCCCATCCTTTTGCCCATGAACAAGAATCTGGAGTAGTCCTATTTGACAGAAACTACAAATAACTCTATGAGTTTTAAAATAATTAACTAAACATGCCAGGTAATAGAGGGCTGCTCTTGTAACCATCAGAGAGAATCTGATGCCCTGAATCTGAGAACTTTGCTTGATTCATTCATTTATACATATAATTTCAAATAGCATGGGATCATTAAAAACCAAAATTATAGTTTTTTAGTCCATTACTTTCTGACTTTTGATTTTTGAATGACAACCAAATAAGAAATGAAGTTTACTGAGGCTTCCTGGTTCTGCCTTCACTCACAGTAGAAATAATCTGAGGGACCACTAAAAGCGGGGAATGATTATTTCAGAAGGGACTCCCAGATAATTTACAGACAGTGAGCTCCAGTAGGCAATATTTCTTAAAGTTTCCATTAATGTATTTTATCATAAAGTGATGCTGTTGTTTAAACTGTGCTGTACATCAACATCACAGCTACAAGGTTAGCTCCAGATGTTCCTTCCTGTTTCACTTCTCACCCATGCACGAAGATGTTCCAAACTGATTAGAACTTAGAGAAAGAAAGCTCGTGGGTAATTTATCCCTGGGACCTTCACAAATAGACTGACAAACAGTTGGGCAGTCTGGCAGCGTATGAGGATCTACTTCAAGATCTAAATTGGGCAGGAGATTAGATAAGGAGATTATTAACACTAACATAGACTGATCCCATTTCTTACCTTCTCATGGGCTCTGCTGCTTTCCATGTTCATGTTTAAAGAATCTACATATAGATTGTGTGGAATAATGGGACACTTTGAACAGAATTTACTGGGGAATATCTTATTAGGACAAGATTCTCCTCTACCTACTATTTTCTGAAATACAATGTGGGCAACAATTTATATATTCTATATTCTTGTAGTCATTTTGGACTGCATGAAAAAATTCACAACAGAGCTTCCTTATTTGGCAAGTAAGAATTAGGATCATGGTTAAAATATAGTCATCTTTCAGTTTGCAACCCATTAGGATAAAGCTTTGTTCCACTAACTTTGTTGTCTTTTTTTCTCTATTATTTTTAAATACAACAAATAAAAATCCAGTGAACTCTGATGAAATATTTCAAAAAAAAGGTGTTAAATTTTTACCTAGAAGAACATAAAATAGTGTTTAATTTGAGATTATCAATCAGATTTTAGAAAGAAAGAGGCATACTTTCATCATCATCATCAAAGACAATCATCAAACTTAGATCTACTATTTTCAGTAGGAAGTTCAGATTTTTGGCTTGGTAACCATGCTCTACTTCCATGTCTTCTGTATTGGATCTGCCTGATAAGACATATTGCAGGGATACACAAGTTATCATAACTGTTGAAATATGAAATCCAAAAGATTATCATAGTCCCTAAGAAACAAAGAAATAATGTTTAAGGTATCTCTAGTTTTATCTTGTGTTTTGGGTGCCTGTAGAAGAATGTATAAATAATGTATGCAGATATGATCCAATCCCAACACAGAGTCTGGCAGAGGCAACGTAAGAGATACTGATAGTCATCTATAAAAGAAAAGTGATCACAGAGTATCAGGTTTAATAATAAAAATGGCCATGAGTTGCATGTCTGAGTGTAGATTTAAATCTCCAGCTGTATATGTAAATTGGGCAGAAAATCCCCCTTCAGGATATGTATCAAATCAAAATCACCTTAGCGCTAAAATCCTTTCAGTAAGGGCAGTTCAAATTCAGACCTGGATTCCAGGTTTACAGACAGAGCTCCTCATTTGACTAAAGTTTTGTTTTCCTTAGCTTTTGTGGATTTCAGTTGAATCATATACTTCCTGATCTTCCACAAAAGCAAACATATATAATGGGTTCCTTTACCTGCTAATCTGACTAGGACTAAGTGCACAAGAAACACTTCTAAAAGGATTGCTCTAGAAGTAATTGTTAATTTCATCATGGTGTTGCTCAATTTGTCTTCGTGTTGCCTATCAGGCCTCAGTCATAACATCCACCACTTGCTATGCAAAGATCCTGCACGTGATTTATGGAACTCGGCGTGTGTTTTATTTAGGGGTAAAATCGCAGCAGGGACTGATTCCATGCCTGTGTGTGACCCTCTGTTAAATTGCCTACTTGCTGCTTCACAATAAATGACACATGTGCAACTCTAAACATTTTTGTGCTTTTACAAAGTATTTGTAGCATTCATACTCAGGCAAATGAGACCCCTGGGTACACTTTAGAATTGATGTTTGAAAACTTTCAAAATTTCATCTCAGGTGAGTGTCATAAAAAACACAGAGAAATTTATATTGAAGACTTTCTTAATGAAACGTGGATGAATAAGCAAACTAAAAAGCTGCTGAGAAAAGCTGATGGTGTTTGGTGCATTAGAAATTACAATTGCAAGTCACTAGCATGTTCTACCAGACATTTTTCTGTGCAGCAGAGCTGGAAATGGACATTAATATTCAGAAAGATATTAAAAGCTAGTCGACTTGAACTCCTGCCGCACCAAGGTAATTAAATTTTAATATGTAACAAAAGGACTGAGAAGGACCTAAATTACATGGCCAGAGACTTAATTCTGTGCTGAGCAGAGCTTGCACTAGTCCCTTTCAATCAGTGGGACTAATTGACCGAGTAAAATGATCCCCAAGATGGATCTGGTACCTGCAGACAACAAAAAATCACAGACAGGAAGATTGGAGGCCCCTGGAATCTGTGCAAAGGGGCTGAGAAGCTGTTACATTTTTCAGTTGGTCACAGCTTGGTGCTAACGACACCAAGGCCACTGGTCCCTACACAACAGTCACTCAAGAGGGTGGTGACTCGATGATCCTTGTGGAGCCCACCCAGCCTAGGATATTCTGTGATTCTGTGTAATCCTGTGATCTTTACAGAGAAGTTCAGGACAATACAAAGCAGGTGAGCTTGGTTGTCTGTTGCTATGGAGTGTCAACACACAGGAGCCCTCCACTGAAAGTCCTGCTGACACTGGGTATAAGGGGTCCTGAGTAAGGAACATAAGTGATGGGGCAGGAAAGGCACAGTACTGGGTGCTGCACAGGAACAGGAGCTGGGCTGGATCCCTCGAGTCTGCCCAACCTGGAAACCATCCCAGCTGCTCCTGCTCTGGCATGATGAAGACAGCATCAAGCAGAGGAGTGAGTCTGCCATCCCTGGTGCAAAGGCCCGCTGCACAGGCAGATAAGATTTGCAGTGGTAGCCAGTTGCAAGATGCTCATGCAACCCACAGTGAGGCAAGGATGCATGCAAGGTTCCTAAAACCATCGTTCATGGGGGTGAATAGGACCGCACTTGAAGTAAATTGCTGCTCAGCATGGGTAAGTTGGCCCAGTTTGGTTTAGGCCAGCAAGAGCATGGAAATTGTGGCAAAAAGTAGGGTTGGGAAGACTGCTCACCCTCTCCAAGGGGCAGGAGGTGAGAGTCTGAGGCTCACACAGTTGCTATATCTGTCAGGTAGGATTCAACAAGATCAGTTTCCTACTGCTGCAAGGCCAGATGCTTCTGGAAGCTTATTCCTTCCAGTTGTCGTCTCCCTGGCTGGCATGGGAGTGCCAGAAGCATCCTGTCTGGATGGCAATATAACCAGGATTATTGACTACACTACCTCATTAGACCCAGAGATTCACAGATACTTTATTTCCAAGCTGTCTCCACATTGCAATGCTGAGAAACAGTCTGTGGATTTTGTATAAATTCCAATTTATCTCTATCAATAATCATGTATATTCATATTAAACACAGAGTACCTGATACTGATGAATGAGGCAGAGGAAGAAATGGGAAATCAGGCTTCCCTAAGATGGTAAAACTCAACATTTTCAATGCAATCTTTATTTGTCATTACATACCAAATCCATCAAGTTTACAAAACTGCTGTTATGTTTTATAGAGTCTCAGAATATAAATCTCTTAAAATTTTTTAAGGATCTGAAGAAAGCCAGGACCAAAGGTCTTAGTTCAGTTAATTTCTATTATTTTTTTTCCTTCTAAATGGCTTAAATATTTGACATTCACAATCAAATGTTAAAATCTGTTTAAATTTGACTAAACAATCGTGACAAGTTATAGTTGTATCAGTTTAAGGATTTACACTGGTGTGGGAAATCAATAGACCTGGACAATCAAACCAAAATTCCTCCATGATACAGGAAATTTGAAAGTTTGAAGTTTACCTGCTTTTTATCAGAATCAGTTCAAAATTTAATTTTCACAATAATTATGGCTACTGTAATATTTTATAATGTACACTAAACAAATAAAACACAGAAATAACAGAAATATGAGATAAAACCAAATTGCTGAAAAGATTAAAAAAATTATTTGTAAATTATTTGATCTTTTAAATTTCTAAGTTAATATAAATAAGCACTGTTCTTCCCTCTGCTTTTTTTAAACATACAGTTTATCTATCAGTGAATTAAGGTAAATGCTTCTCTGAGCATTTTTTTAATTTTAAATCACATACTTCCTGATCTTTCCCTTTAAAAGGAAAAACCACTGCTCTGATAAAAACATTATAATGTTTTTATCTGAGCAGTGATTTTTTCCTTTAAAAAGACTTAATTTATCCTTACCAATTATTAGCAACATCTTTAAATGGAGTTCTGCTAATTAATCAAAAACTTCTTGTGAGCTCAGACAAGCCAGCCCCAATTGACCTTGAAAGTATATGAAAGCACACAAGTAAAAACAAGAATTTTTTGGCCAAAGAAAACATCTTTATTCTTTTAATAGGCATGGAGGAAAAGACTGCTTAGTGCAAAGAACTCCATACAGCTGAGCTCTCTTACAATTTTAGATGGAACAAATGAATCCACAAAAAAAAAAAAAAAATTTAAATGGAATTCAGGCACTCACTGAAGTTAGTGGTAAAGTTTTATTTCTGACAACAGAAGCTCTACCACAGCAGGTTTTGCCTCAGACTGTGAGGATGTGAGTCTGCAAACGAGAGTTCTGCAGAGGTCCTCACTGTGTAAAGAGAGGAGTGAGGGTGCCCCAGCCAGGCTGTTCCCAGGCTGGAACCATTCCCTTCCCAACATGCCAGACCTGTGGAAAAATGGGCAAGATCAGGACAGAATCTGTCTCTGCCTGGCCCAGGTTTCACACCCAGGGTAACTTTTATTTTGAGACTGTCTATCCCCTTTCAATTTTCTGTCAGTGTTTTCTTAAGGAGACAGCACACACACTCCTTACTCAGAACTACATATAGCCAAGACTGAACTTTTAATTTTCAAACCACTGCAAGTCATTCCAGTACCAGAACAATTTATGAAGCAAGGCATTCGGTTTAAAATAGTATTTTTTTTTTTCCTTAAGGAAAGGTATGAGCCACTTCCTTTAAAACTTGAGAAAAGTTGCATTTTTCTAATACACAATAAATACTTAATTTGTTTAAGTTTTTTTATTTTTATTCTCTGTCTTTTCAAAAGAAGTTTCTAGAGACTCCAGGTACAAATTGAATGAACTGTTCTGTAGGTCCATGTTCCTCATATTTTTTCTGCTCTCAATATATCAACATCTAAAAACAATAAACAAGACTCTAATGGATGAGAAGAATAGATTTCTGAACATTATGTTTTCTTCTTTTTTTTAAGCCCCCTTTTTATACAGTAATTGGCTGACTAACCTTGAAAGCTCTGACTGCCTAAAAATTATTTACTGTTATGCAAACAGTCATGTGGCTTCCTCAGACTTAATTTAGAATATTTATCCCCAAAGAATCCAGGACCCTAAATTTAAGGATAAAATCAGGCTGTTTGTTTCCCTGAGGAATCTGCTCTGCAGATATGGCAGCAACTGTGCACTAAAATGGCAGCAGTGTCACAAGTTCATTCTCATGCCAGATTTTGTCTGGAACTGCAACCCAGCAGCAAGCTGTGTCCAGCAATAGTCCAGTGTATTGTTATACTCAGGGTTAGGCAGTACTATACTCACTGTGAAAACACAGGTAGGAAAAAATACTTCTAATTTAGTCGTGACACAAACACTCATGAAATAATTTATTTGAATACCTCTGAGTGATTTAAACCAAGCTCTTCAGTGGTTTCTTCTCATAAAGTCCTTCTAAGATGCTACATTGTCAGTGGAATTAATCTCTCATTGCCAAATCATCAACAAATAAGATTCTTTTGCTGCAATTTTTAGCTCTCTTTTCTTTTCCACTTCTGATGTGGAGTAAAGCCTGCAGTCACAACTCTGATAGCTTGAAGGCATTTGATCCTACACTATTTATCCATTATTTGCTTTATTTATCCAAAGGAAAAATTAAGTGCCATGCCTCAGAACAGTGAGATCTGTAACACAGTGGTACCTCTGGAGATCTCTGACAGACAGTCTTTGGAAAAAAAAATGGAAAGCTGCATCACTAACTTGGGAAAACTTTTGAAAAGTGCTTGCCTTTGCAGGTGCATATCTAATAGTTTGTGATGAAAACTATACAAAGACAAAAATGTTTCCAATGAAATGATGATTCAATGTTATTTTAGTTAACAAAATATCTTTTACAATATGGGAATCTCATCTGAAACACAAGAAGTTTCACCTGAACATAAGGAAGAATTTTACTGTAATGGTGACTGAGTACTGGAACAGGTAACCCAGAGGGGTTGAGGAGCATCCTTCTCTGGAGACATTCCAAATCTGTCTGGATGCATTCCTGAGTAGCCTGCTCCAGGGAACATTGCTTGAGCAGGGAGGTTGGACTAGATGACTTCCAGTGGTCCTCTCCAATCTTGCCCATCCTGTGGTCCTGTGATTTTGTCTTTCATTCTCCTCATTCTCATTCTCCTTAGGTAACCTTGTAGGGCACATCTAGGGGTATGCAATTTCCCTGTTTTAAAAAATATAGTTTTTTGGAAAGAGCAACAGAGAATTTCTTGCCTCTCAGAAAATGCAGATTTCTTTAGGTAGGAGTAGGACATAAGTCTGCTGACACAAAACTTCTCTACAGTACTGTGTATACTTGTCTTAAAGATTGCTAGGAAATGCCCTGTTTTATTTGAGGAAGGTCTTAAAAATATGCTCAATAAATTTCTGATACACCTTTAGTCCTTTTTGACATGCAAGAATATATCTAATATGTGCATTACACTTAAATGTGTAAGTATTTCTGTCTTGCAATAGTTTGTAGGCAGTAGAGAAAGAGTTTGCATCATTACTGTTTGATCTGAGTGTAAAACTGCAGAGATACCAGACAGAAACCTGAAGCCCCTCAGGACTACATCTAATATGTTGCTCTGTCACAGGAATAAACTAAAAGCCTCATTTTGCTGTCTTGTGGCAGATAGTGGGTTCCCACTGAATGTTTAAGCTCTTCAACACTCTGCAGGTTAAAGCCCAGGAGAATCTAACTCCAAGTCACCCTACGGGAGATTGGCAGATGTTGCTCTTTTAAGTTGATTTATGGGATGATACAAAACATCAACCTCACAAAGCTGTTCTTGTATTCTTGGTTAGGTGGCAACATGATATATTAGTGCCCTGAATCATTACAGCAGAAGAGCAAAATAAGCATAAAGGATGCATTAAAATGTAAAGACTTGACCTACTCATATTTAACACAGGAGAGCTGTTGTCTGGTATGAAGTTATGTGATCAAAATTCTATTAAAAAGATTGAGATGATTTACACAGCACTGAGCAGAAGATGCCTAGAAGTGTTATTGTGGAATATTTGTTTTCAAAAAGCAGGGAAGATTAGAGGACCAAAACTCTCACCCTTAGTTACACTAAATATCACAAGTGCTACAATTCCTGTCAATTTGAGACAGGAAATGAGCAAAGAATTTCCATTAACAGGGGAAGAGATCTTCTTGAAGATTTTCTCCTGACATTTTTAAATTGTGCAGCTACTTATAGGAAAGCCTATGAATAAATCTTCAGGCTAAGAAGTGCCATGAG